CCCCCTGCTGCAGTTTATTGAATTCTTCAACCAATTTTGATCCCAGCTCGTCTTTAAATCTGGCACACAAGTCTACAACAAAATCCTCCCACATGATGTTGTTCCTCCCCATAGTATAACTACTATACCACATCTCAGCCTTCCCGGTCATATACAGAGAGGCTAGATCAACTTTTTTCTCCTCAGGAATTCGACACAACATGAAATACTTCACACATTTTTTAATCCAATTTCGCACATTTGATCCATCAAATTGAGGAAACTCTACCTTGGGATTGAAATGTAATTGCCTCGGATTGTCTGATTCTGATCTCCTCTCCTGATTCCGGTTGCTTCCAGGTGTAGAAGTTGATTCCCCCTGGGCGATAGACTTGATCTGCTCCATTATCTGTCCAAACATCGCCTGTTGATCCTCGATCTTGCGATTTTGTTGTTCCATCTGGATTGCGAACACCTTTTGCTGATCCACCAAAGCTTTCAAGGCCTCCTCTATTGTTGCCATCTGTGCTGCTTTGCGTCTCGTAATCGCCAGCTCTCAGCCGGAAAGAACCGCTCTGATACCAATGTTACCGGCGAGGAGATTTCGTAGGGAAGAAGGAAATCTCGTAGCTAATAACAGAAAGGAGAGAAGAAAGAGAATTCTTTGGTGGAAAGTGGATTAGGATGAAAAATATCTCTTCTTATTATTCCAGATGTTGAACCACTATTTATAGAGTTGCCCCACAAGGTTACACATAGGATAATAGCATACTTAAACAAAAATAGAAATAGAAAATATAGCTAAGGAGTGCATCACTTTCTCTACCTAATTTTCTTGGAGCTTGAAGGACGCTCGAAGTTCTTCCATATCCGATACGATATTCGTATCAATTGGTGCTCTCGTTGAGAGGAACACACAAAAAAACAAAAAAAAAATTGCCACAACAGATCGCTGAATTGACGAGAGGAAGCATTGAGATGCGCAGCCGCAAAAGCTCACTCAACTAATCAAAAGGATTTAGCCACTTGCCGCTGGAATTTTATTGGTATCCAAGGGTTTGTTTTGTTTTGCTACTGCATGCATTATTTTTATACTTCTTGTATCACTGGATTTTAAGGGCCTTTGTTAATTGGAAGTTCATATGCGCCACATATTCTTTTAAGAATCACTATGACACAAGCTTCTAAAAGTACTTCCGATATGGGCATGGCGAAGATGATTTGTGCATTGGACAAACTTCTTAATTTGTTAGAGAAAGTTCTTTATGGAGAAATTGAGCATGATGAAGAAGTTTGTTTGATTTTTGATCAAGTATATGAAATTATTAAGAAGCTCAGGTCGGTCCGTTATTTTGAAGGTCAAATTGATTATGATGCACTCGACGTAGAAAGTTTTTGTTCGGTACAGGATTTGGTTCGTGGGCCTCTAATTGTGCCAAGTCAAATTCCGTTTGAGTTACAAATGTTTAGAGCACACATTATGGGTACTATATGGAAAGTGACACACGCTCCACTTTCTCCACCAACGATGCCCCCAAAATGTGACGGCTCTGAACCCTTGCAGTGGTTAGGAAAGGTATGTGCGTATTTTGAGTTTTATGAGATCCCTTTAGTTGATCGTTTGAACCATGTGACATCAATGTTAGAGGGCTCTGCCTTGGCTTGGTTTAATCGGCGTATGCGTGGTGGCTTAATTGATGATTGGACGGATTTTGTTGAAAAGTTCAAGATTCGATTTGCTTTGCTACATGATTTGAATTATATTTATTTTGAAAAGACACCAAAGAAGGTTATAGACAAATTTGGTCACAGGGTGGAAGACACCACCACACTACCCACCCCAACTATGGAGGATGCACTTGGAGCAACGAAATTCTGCACTGGACCACGTGGTGAGGATGAGGTGAGCAGTGTATTTGAAGCCATGAATGAAGATAACGGGAAGCCCAACACTGTGGAAGTAATTGATGATGATCGTGGGCATGCAGATGTTACTAAGAACTACAACCCAGATCCTATTTTTCAGGATATCGATACCTCGCTTGATGTGGTCATGGCAGAGTATAAAGTTTCAAGATGTGAGGACAAAGTAGCAGATGAAGATTTTCTAAAAGTTGACAACTCAATTTCATTGGATACCCTCAAGTTGTTTGACCTTGATGATATTGAAAAGTTTGAATACTTAGCTCCCTTGCGAGTAGTTTGCCACCTGTTTGGTTTTGCCTCAACTATCCTCTGTTACGCTTCAATTGTTGAGATTTGTAATGATGGGTCACCGGGGGGAGATCTTCTTTGGCTCAACCATTTTCCTTTTGTCCAGAAGCACGAGTGGGAGCCTCCACCTTGAGGACAAGGTGACTTTCTAAGGGGGTGGGAATGATACAGAAGATGAATTACATTATTTAGTTAGTTATTTATTAATTAGTAGTATTATATAGGTACTCATGATTAGGTTTTAGTATGGGGCCCAAGCCCATTAGGTTAATTAAGGTTTCTCGTATCTCTATATATTGTACTCTCGTATTATTATTATTCAATCAATAAAAAATATCAAAACCCTAATCTCTTTCTCTATTCTATTGAAGTCCGGAAACGCTCGAAGTTTTCCATCTTTCTCTACCTAATTTTCTTGGACCTTGAAGAACGCTCGAAGTTCTTTCATATCCGATACAATATTCGTATCATTTCCCTAAATGATGAACTTTAAGAACTCACTTAAAATGTATACTTATGAATTTATTTATGAGTACACTTATTCCTACTCCCAATGCTTGTCTTTTGTTATGCCTACTCCAAAAACAAACAAACAAAAAAATGAAATTAAGATAAAATAAAAGCTTTCTGCTAAGCAGAAACTTTCTGCAATCAATTGCCTAACCTCAGTTGCACGAAAGCGAACATGAGAATTTGAAATGGTGTTTAACTATATTTATATACCTTCGATATCAACAAATGGACTTGCAGGTGATGGTTTTCGGTTTCCACTCTTAAATTGGTGATCTAATACGGGTGCAGGAGGGGCCGGGGGTGGGTGACATTGATGGGTCTAGGTGACTTTTGAGTTAGAAACCATCAATTTTACAAACGAAGTATCGGAGCTCGTAGGTGTCCCAAAACTATCGGTTATGTAATACGGATGGAAGATATATATTTTGTTTAAAGTTTTTTTAAAAATTCAAAACAAATGTGTTTGGCAATGTTTAGAAAATGTTACAATTAAAAATTAGTTGTAGTAATATTTTTATTCAATTGAATACTTTAAATTAAACAAATAAAATCAAATTTAAAAAAAAAATTAAAAATAACATTTATTTGGTCCGGTCCGGGTTTTACCGGTCCGGTCCCGGGCCGGTCCTTAGCTTAATCGGTCCGGACCTCGGTCCCGGTCCGATCCGAATTTGACCCGATGAACACCACTACTTTTGTATATGTTGGACACTTCTCCCACATTAGAAAAGAAACGAAAAAGTACCTAACATATAAGTTTGATGATTTCTCTTCGTGACACTAACTAATTTTATGATGAAAATTTCATGGGCTAGTGTTGTGCATATCCCACAAATATGCAAGAAGAGGCATGTGTCCCCCACTTAAAGATTGACACACTTGATTTTTATCAATATAAGTCATCTCGGGTCCCAAATTAAATTACAAATTTTTTTTTCTCTTCTCGATAACTTTTGTTTTGTGTGTGTTTATATTGAGAATTTGATAAAATAAAATATTTTTGTCACATCTCATCTTGTATAACTTTTGACATAGATTTTTCATAAATAATTTTTATTTCTTATTGATGTATCAATTTGTAAATAAATTGATTGTAAAAGGAAGATGTAGTACTATATGTTTTTATTTCTAATTTAGTACCATATCTTTTTATTTCTCAATGTAGTATCACTGTTCGATGCTCGCTGGTCATTGTTCATGTAGATGTCCACCGCCACTGGACATTGCTCCCGTTACTAAACATCATTCAAGAACTATTTAGAGAATAAAAAAGTTTAAGTGCTACATTGAGAAATAACATGGGAAAAGGACTAAAGTAGGAATAAAACATTGAAAATATACTAAAATAAGACTTCCATGTTTTTATTCTCGAAGTAGGAGTTAAAATGCATTTACATTACCAAAAAGTATACTACGGTGCACATGTATGGTTCCGCATTACTTATTTCAGTACTTTTTTCTATGTTTTAATCCTATTTACGGTGATTTCTAATTTCCAAAAAAGAAAAATGTTTGTCACCATATTTGTGAAATTTCAAATTCTAAAACTAATAGGGAGAGAGGGAGTAGTCCGTTGAATATATAGTAGGCACGCGCCGAATATACATACACATTAGTAGCTCTTCTTCTCCCTTCACCTGAGACTATTTGGAGATTAAATTTCGACTGTATTTTTAGCAGATAGAAAGAGTATGGAGGGCGGAGGAGAGGCCGCGACGCGGAGGAGGCGGCGGTGTTGCTCGAAGGGAGATTTCCTCCCCGAGGAATCGTTCAGGAGCTGGGGCAATTACGTCAATGCGCTCAAGCAGACGCCTTCCAGGTTCGCCGAGCGGGTGCTCAGCAGGTCCGACGACGGGACGGAGCTGGCCGCCAGGTCCCGGAGCAACCACGAGATGAGGAAGAGTCTGTCCTGGTGGGACCTGATGTGGTTCGGGATGGGAGCCGTCATCGGCGCCGGAATATTCGTGCTCACCGGACTTGAGGCTCGGGAGGACGCCGGCCCCGCCGTCGTCCTCTCCTACGCCGTCTCTGGCCTCTCTGCTCTGCTCTCCGTCTTCTGCTACACTGAGTTCGCCGTCGAGATCCCTGTCGCCGGTGCGTTATCCTTTTTTTCCCCATTTCTTTCTTACTCCTTGTAATTAAATGACTCTCCTCAAATTTCACAAATCAAAGATAAAATAATATTTTGAATATATATTTTATGTATTAAATCTAATAAAATTATTTTTATATTAATATCTAATATCACTTTTATTTAATTTGGTATCAAAGTTTACCCATTTTAACCAACATTACACGTAGCAAATCAAATGGATAGAAACTAAATTCATTCAAATTTGGTAAATTGAAACAAGAGGACTATCTTAGGAGTTCTGCAAGTGCTTCAATATTGAGATGGATGAAATACTCATCGGTATTTAAATTTTGATTGGTTTATTTAGAATATTGATTAAAAGTGTGTGTTAAATTTATAGAGTGAGACAAAAAAAAATTGAAAATGAATTAAAGTGTTTGTACCCAAAAAGTGTACCCTAATTTATACTCCAAAAAATACATTAACATTTTAACGATTCACACTGTCACAAAATGCTAGTTCACTTAAAAAATTGTAGTGACATTTTTTGTCAATGTATACTAGCACACTAACATTAAACTAGTACAAAATGTCAGTTCATTCATTTGGGATTCAAAATGAGATACAAATTTTGGCATACAAATAACTTAATTATTCAATTGTGAAAGCTTGTGTGCATGCATACAAAATTTTAGTGTGCTGGTATACATTGACAAAAAATGTCAGTGCAATTTTTTAAGTTAACTAACATTTTGTGGCACTGTGAAATTAAAAGTAAGATTTGGGGCTTTTTGTATTTATTCTTCCCTCCATCCCATTTTAAATCGTCTGTTTTGACTTTTGGCATATTTAAGCAAAAGAAAAAATAGAGTTGATTTTTTGAAATTGCCATTACTTTGTAGGCGGGGTGACGATAAATGAGAAGATAAGGTGAAGAAGAGTGAATTATTTTAGGGGTAGTTTAATTATTTTATTTTTAAAAATTTACGAAAACATCTAACAGACAACTTATTTTGAGACGGAAAAAAAAAAGCAAACATACAATTTAAAACGAGACAGGGGGAGTACTTCTTTTGTTTCAAATTAAATTATATGCTTACTATTTGCAAGGTCAAGCTTCAATCACTTTCTTTATCTATTTTTATTAGTCATTTGATAAAATAATATAGTCATGTCATCACTAGTTATGAAAATCTTTTGATGTAGTTTTTAAATGTGTAATTTTTATTTTTTTCATTCTACATCATTTTTTATATAAAATCATTTGAAAATAACTTTAGCCAAACATCGTAAATCGAAACAGACGATTTAAATATGACGGAGGGACGACAATACTCCTAGCCTCCTTTCCCAATTAACCGTTTGGAAAATGCTAAAACCCTCCACTCTTGCTACCACTCATGCCCCCCTACATAAACATGTGGTAGGTAGACAAGAAAACTAAAATTAGAGGGTGGGTGGAGAATGAGTAGAGATAAATATGTGGTGGGGAAGTGGGTGGAGGCAAGGTTGGTAGCAAGCGTGTGGGGTGTGTAGCATGGTCCTAATCGTTTTTCTTTTGAAAAAACGCGAAAACTTTCATCATTGTTTTAAGCGAATTAAGTTGTGACCGGCCTGTTTGTTTTAATTTATCAACTGGTAAATGAAAATCGTACCGAATTAAAAAATGATAGAAAATCTAAAATAATAAAGATGCCAATTAATTGAGGACGAAAATGCTTCTTTATGTCAGCCTCAAGTTGTTGAGATGAAGACAGAACCTTTGACGTTTTCCAAAAGGTTTGTGAAGATGATGACAGTCGTTTGACTTTCAGCAAATGGGTGTGGGTGTATTTTGTTGACGTGAAAAAGTATGAAACTAAGGAATAAATGAAGAATGGGATTTAAATGCCTTTTTTTCAACTATAATTAAACAACAAATTAAAGAAGGAAAGACAAATTGAGAATTGTGATGATGCGGGCGGCTGTTTAATCGTCCAAAATTGTCAATATGCACATATAGTTAGACCTGGCAAAACAGAATCCGAACCGATTACCCGAACCGAAATATCTAAAACTGGAATGATCTAAAAAATGAAGATCCGATCTATAACCGAAAACCCGAAATGATCCGAATCGAACCGAAACCGAACTAAATAATTCATATCCGATTTAGATCCAAAACCGATTAGATCCGAAACCGATAATATCCGAACCGATTAAACCCGAAACTGGTTAGATCCGAACCCGATAATACCCGAAACCTATAAATCTGAAACCAATTAGATCTGAAACCGATAATATCCGAACCCGATTAGAACTAAAATCGATAAATTCAGAACTATGTTTGCCTTTCAATAGGCATATTATATTTTTAAATTTTTACTTTTATTTTACCATTTGAACTAATTACATTACTTGCTCATTCCCTCATAAAATGGATTATCTTCTTGAAAAAAAGTACAAAATTTTATGCCTTAAATTTATTATATGTAGAAATTAAAGATAAATTATACATATAAATGATAACGCACAAACAAATAAATTTTCTGTAATTTTTAAATAGTGAAGTGTGATATTCTTTTTGGGACGAAAAGAATATATGATGAACTGTATGGAATAACTAGATTTTATCCTAGTTTCATCTCATTACAATAAATTTTATTGATTTGAGAGTTAATTTGATTAGTTTCAAACCAATTCATTCAATGTTAGTCAATAAAATTAGATGGTAGTGTTAGCATTTTGAAAAGACTCTCTAGCGGTAGCCTTTACTGTTATCATTTTCAAATTTGATCTACACCATTACATTTAGGTATAAAATTAATTATATTTGACTCTATTAAATTTAATTTTCTCTATTTTCAACCAAATATACTCAAAAATTTACAAATTTTGCACTCAATTGAATAAAATTCACTTAATTTCACCCAATTTTACTCAATTTTTACCAAATTGTATTCAATGGAACATAACACTATTTGAATTTATCTTTTATCCTTTCATTTATATACATAAGTATATTAGTATATGTGAGAAAAATTTTATATTTCAAAACTAAATTTTAAAATCAATTTAATTATATTAAATTTATATCATAATTAAATATATATATGTTTTCATAATTTGTAGTCCAAATTTGTAAAATATGACTAAAAAGTCAAAAAGGGAAGATTATTTAGGGTATAGATAATATAACTAGAAAAATATATAAAATAATATGAGATATTGAATTGATGATAGATTGATAAATGTGATAAAACATAAAAAGAAACACGGATAGTTAAATTTTAATTAAAAAATAGTATATATATCCAAAATATATTTGATCCGAAACTGAAATATATCCAAACCGAACTAGACCCGAAATCGAAATATATCCGACTCAAATTGTATCCGAACCGAAATCTATTCGAACTGATTTATAACCGAACCGTATTTGAACCGACTCGATACCGAACCGAACCGAACCGAAAAATGTATAGAACCAAAATCAAATCCGAACCGAAATTTAACCGATCCGAACCAAACCGAACCGATTATAACATATAACCGAAAGATATCCGAACCGAAAAAATCCAACCCGAAACCGATCCGGTTGATCCGATTGCCACCTCTACATATAGTACAAAAGAGCTTCTCTATTTAAAATTTATTGTTTATTTAATTTTCAATCTAATATATTTGAAAATTTAGTGTTAAATTCAAAAATAAAAATTAGGGGATATATATTTAAAAATAATATTATAAGTTTTACAAAAGTAGTGATGACTTAATTATTTTATATTATCAAATGACTAATAATAATATGTAAACAAAAAAATATAATTCGACCTATTGAATCATTAAGATGAATCATATTTTGAGATGAAGGGAGTAAAATATAAAACTTAATTTCCAGAGTGTTACTACCTTTTAAGGCCCCGTCTCGTTCAACTTATTTTTTTTATCCTAAATAAGATCAGATCAGGTCAGATCAGATCGAATCAAATCAGATTAGATCAAATCAGATCAGATCTCATCAAGAATTATTATTATTATTATTATTGTTGTTGTTGTTGTTGTTATTCTTAAACATGAAAAAGAATAAACTTTAGAAACAAGTTAAATAGAAAACTAATAAAGTAATTCTTAATTATTAGACGTCGAAAAAATTATTTTTAAAATACATTGACAATGTCATCTAATTCTACTTTTAAAACACATTTTTATTGCTACCGATAATTTGAGTTTTTAAACTTTTGATCTTTTATAAGGATGAGATATTTTAATAAAAATGATATCTCTTCTCTATATTGATTATCTAAATTTAATTACTTTTTAATGTATATATAAATTAAATAATTATTCTAATATAAATACATAAATACATACATACATACATACATACATACATACATACATATATATATATATATATATATATATATATATATATATGAACTAATTATTAAAATACTAAATCAATATTCTTATTTCACAAAAAAATAATCATAAAATAAAAAATATTATTACATTATAATCAGATCGGATCAAAATCGGATCAGATCATATCCATTCAGGTCAGATCAGATCTACTCAGATCAAATCAGATTCATTCAGATTAGATCTGTTCAAATCAGAAAATTATTTTAAAAAATAAATAATTTTAAAATAATAATAATAGTAATAATAATAAAATTAAAATAATAACATTATCCATAATTATTATCATTAATAATAATAAATAGTAATAATTTATTATTCTCATACTTAATAATAATATTAATAGTAATTAATAATAATAAGAATTAAAAGAATAATAATCAATATTAATATTATTAAATAATAATAATTACAATAATAATTGATATTATAACCATCATTAATTAATAAAAATAATAATAAATAATAATAATTTATTATCATCGTACTTTATAAAAAAATTAATTATTAATAATAATGATTAAAATGATAATAATAAATTATAATAATGATAATAACATTAAATAATAACATTTATTTGTAAATATAATCATTAAAATAATTATTGTTAGTAATAATAATAGACTTTAACAATAATTATTATTTTAATTATAATTATAATTAATAATGATAATAATCATCATTAAAACATATAATAATAATAAAAAATTATTATAATTATTTTAATTATAATTATTAAAATAAAAATGATGATGAAGATGATGATGATGATGATGATGATGATGATGATGATGATGATAATAATAATAATAATAATAACAATAAATAATTGAAACTATAATAATAATAATAATAATTAGCATTGTAGATATTATTAATAATAATTAATAACAAATTATTACTATTGTTATTATTATAGATATTATTAGTACTCTAATTATTTGAATTTAAATTTAATCCCTTCAGATCATATCAGATCCATTCAGATCAGATCGTATTTATCAGATAAGATCAGATCAGCATTAAAAGTTCAGTTTAGATCAGTCCAGCCGAAGAGAACGCAGCCTTAGTGTCTCTAAGGAAAGAGTTGTCTAACTTTAACGTTTTGAAAAAATTATTGAAATATTTGAACTAAATAGCACTAAAACTTAAGTCATTTCCTTAAATAGCACTTAAATTGTTTTATTCCCTAAATAGCACTTAATAATGTCTATAATGTCCTGTGATGAAAAATATTTACTTGAATAATGACTAATGCATAATGACTAAAAGTGCTACATTGGGAAGAAAAACACATGTACTGCTATCTAGGGAAAGTCATTATGTTTTACTGATATTTAATTAAATTCCTCAAAATTATTTTATACGGAGTAACAATATTTAGCATTAATATTTTCCGTGTTAATGTATTATTAAAAGATATCTTAAAACACCAAATAAAAACATTGTTCCCAAATGAGGCCTTGATCATATTTAATGATACCTTTAAATTGATTTTATATTTTCATATGTACTCCCTACTTCCAAAAAATTAAGTTATGGGTGGATATCAAAAGTTTTAAAATGGTATTGAAAAATAAAAAATTTGTGGATAAAATTTGTTTAAAAGAAAGAAACATTGTACACCATTTAAGTTTTGTTCTCTTTGTCTAATCGGAGTCATTATTCTGATTTTAATTTATTAAGATCTAATTTGATCTCGTTTTAAATTGTTTGGTCAAATCTCAATAAAATTATAGTTGTGCGGAGTATATATATATTTCTTATTTGTAATCTTGTAATTTTAATATGATCCGGTCTTAATTTTTTTGGTCTTATTTCAATTATGATACAAAAAGTTTAAGAGGGTAAATTTAAGATTACTTTCGAGTATAATACAAAAAGTAATAAGAATAAATTACTGTATTATTATTGACCAAGTTGTATGTGTATGATCAGGTGGTTCATTTGCATACCTGAGGGTAGAACTTGGTGACTTTGTGGCCTTCATAGCCGCCGGGAACATCCTTCTCGAGTACGTCATCGGCGGAGCAGCGGTGGCGCGTTCGTGGACGTCCTACTTGGCCAGTCTCTGCAACAAGGATCCCAACTCTTTCCTCATAAAGGCTCATGGCTTAGCACAAGGCTACAACAAGCTTGACCCCATTGCTGTAGGGGTGTGCATTGTCATTTGTATGGTTGCCACTCTCAGCACCAAGGGTTCGTCCCGCCTCAACTACGTCGCGTCCATCGTCCACATTCTCGTGATCCTATTCATCATCGCGTGCGGGCTCGTCAAATCCGACCCGAAGAACTACAAGCCCTTCGCGCCGTTCGGCCCGCGCGGGGTCTTCAAGGCCTCGGCCGTTCTGTTCTTCGCGTACGTCGGTTTTGACGCGGTCTCGACGATGGCCGAGGAAACGAAGAACCCGGCGAGGGACGTGCCGATAGGGCTGGTGGGGTCCATGGTGGTGACGACCGCGGTTTACTGTCTGCTCGCGATCACGTTGTGTATGATGCAGAAGTACGACGCCATCGACGTGAATGCCCCATTCTCCATTGCTTTCAAGAGTGTGGGGTGGTCATGGGCTCAGTACATTGTTGCCTTTGGAGCTCTCAAAGGGATGACATCCGTGTTGCTGGTCGGTGCGGTCGGGCAAGCGCGTTACCTGACCCACATTGCCAGAACTCACATGATGCCGCCTTGGTTTTCGCACGTGGACCCCAGGACCGGGACGCCGGTTAACGCGACCGCGACTATGATGGTGGCCACCGCGGTTATCGCCTTCTTCACGAAACTCGACATTCTGGCGAACCTTCTCTCCATTTCGACCCTCTTCATCTTCATGCTCGTGGCGCTCGCACTTCTCGTGCGCCGCTACTACGCGAGCGGGGCGACCGCGCCCCGGGACCGCAACACGTTCATCGCCCTCGTCTCGGTCGTCCTCGCGTCGTCGGTCGCCACGTCAGCGTACTGGGGCTTGAGCGAGGACGGGTGGGTCGGGTACTGCGTGACGGTCCCGTTGTGGTTCTCGGCAACCGCGGGCATTTACTTCTTCGTCCCCCAAGCCCGCGGTCCGAAGCTATGGGGGGTCCCGTTGGTCCCGTGGCTTCCCTCGACGTCCATCGCCATCAACATCTTCCTCCTCGGCTCAATCGATCGACAGTCCTACGAGAGGTTTGCGATTTGGACAGCTTTTCTTCTGGTTTACTATGCCTTTTTTGGCCTTCATGCATCATATGACAATGCAAAGGAGTTGGAAAGAAACCAAGAACGTGGGAAAATTGAAGATGGGACTGTGCCAACTTCAGCCATAGTTGCTCAGAGTGCTGCTTCTAAGAATTAGCTACGCATTGTAGTATTAAGCACAACTCTTAGTTTCAATAGCAATTTAGAGTTTGGGGATTGATATGATATAGAATTTGAAAGTTTGAAAGAATAATGTGAGTTGAAAAGATTGTGTTTGGAGATAATTTGAAATCATGATTTTTTTAGTTATAAACGAGCTGAGAATGACCCGCAATGTTGAATGAACGGCAACCGGTTGCCAGACTTAAAAATCTCCTAAACAAATTCCAAACTTGTTTAGGTTTCACCCAACCTAAAAATATTCTACTCCCTCAGTCCCAATTTAAATCGCATGTTTCGGTTTACGATGTTTGACTAAAGTTTTTTCAAATCATTTTATATGAAAAATGATGCATAATTAAAAAAATAAAAATTATATATTTAAAACCACATCAAAAGATCTACAAAATTAGTTGTGACATAACTTTTAATTTATCAAATGACTACTAAAAATAGAGGGAAAAAAGTGAATAAAGTTTAACCCTGTGAATCAAAAAAATGCAATTTAATTTGGAACGGAGGGAGTAATAAGATATTACAACTCATCTTTTTGGCTCATTAAACACACTTTTAGATGTAAGCCAATTTATAAACACAAAGTTGTATATCTAACACAAAAGGAATGAATTTAACAACATCCAAAACATATTATAATTAAATAAAACTCCAAATCATAGCTTCAAACCAGAAATAATAGTTCAACTCATTTTAAGATTCATAAAGGTTAGAAAACTCTGTTCGACGAAGAATTGGATGTGTATATGACGATACAACTGAACACTCTCAAACAAGAAACCTATTTACTCCCACAACACATGATACACAATACATTGCTTTGGTGTTCACCCGTTAGCCGTTAGTCCGTTACCGGTAAAAATGGCTAAAGAAGAGAGATTAAAATCCTATAAAAACACCGAAATGAAAGCAAAGAATACCACACTGGCGGGAATAATTTACAGCGTTGTATGATGCTGTATAGATAACTATTATGTCTCTATCTTCAGAAGAGAGTTGAGGGATGTACTGTTGAAGCGCTGAGCAAGGCCTCTGATAACGAGGACAATTATGTCGCGGAGGTGTCGTGTCTGCACTAACAAGTTGGCTTCGTTTTCACTGTCAACCACAATCTTGAAACGATGTTGATCACTTCGAAGTAGCTCTACCTGCAAACAATTGGTTTTGTTCTGCTATCAGAGTGTAATCCTTTGAATGCTACGAAGAGCAACATAGCCAGCTTAAATTTTCACTACACCAGTCACTAGAATTGGGTGTCATATTATGACACCGAGCCGGTAAGCCCCTACGTTCTACCATTGGACCTCGAAGTAAGTTGTTTCTACCCCCCCCCCCCCCAAGAAAAACAAATTGATGAGGGTGGAGGGGAGGGTGGTAAGAACAACTTAATTTGAGGCTCAACGGAGCATTGTAGGGGCCTCAAATGGCTGGTGTCCAATGTCAAAAGAACCGAACTGTTTTCATTAATAAGAAGTGCTTGAAGTACATTACGAAAAATGCTGTTACGTGTTTCTATTTCGATTGTTTTGTGGATTTTTTTGCTAAATTTTCTAAATGAGGGTTAGACACTTATCAAACCAAAATTGCCCTTGAGTTGATTGACATACATGGAAAGGAGGAGCATAAGTGCCTCGGACTTCAGTTGTGGGAAATGACGTTTTAGAACCAGGCTTCACAACCTTAATCCTCTTTCGGTAAACCTCCAATATTCTTCTCTCAAGACTTCCAACGCCAAGAACCTGTAGTCAAATGTGTAAAGATTATAGCTCGTGTGTATAATATTCAATACGCCGAGAAATATCCAAAATGTTGTAATACCTTCTTAGAGGACCGATCCTTGTCACACAAGGCCTGCAATGATTCCGCGCAAATGAAATCTAGAGTTAATACACTACACCCAATGCCATAAAATCAGACCTTAGAGAATTGGCCCTATCCTCAATATTACAATCAAAAGTTTGTACACAAACGGTTTTACAGTAAATCTAAAGCTATTTACCATTATGAAACTCACACTATATTATTCAACCTTAGGTTCCATAACTAAATCAAGGTTCTGTTTCAATCCTTTTACTCCTTTTCATTTTTAAAAATATACTTCATAGACACAACATAGAAGCAGAATAGTTGATTTGATCAGACTGAACAGAACCAACAAAGTATGGCATATACTAAATTTAAAAGATTTCAATGAGTAATATAGATAGCACTGATGTGCTTCAAGTGAATATTTTCTGAGAAATTATTTCAAATCCTCTTCCATTGGCCTCTAAATCACATGAATGTCAAGAGGCCAGGTAACCACGCAAAAATGGGAGGCTGTGGTAACAACATGTTGGTCACAAGAGCACCATGCTTTTTTTAGTTTAACTAAGACATACACACAAAATCAATGCTGGACCTTGCATGGAAAACCAACCGTTCCAGTTACATCCTCAACTGGAGGAATACCTCTTCATTGTGAAAAATGTTTGAACTTTGAATTTGATTGGCATACCGGCTGTAGGCTGTAGCAAACGTAGCTCTGAACTGATCATCTTTGCTTAATCAGCTTTGAAAGGTATGATTCTTTTAACAGAGCATTAAATTGAAGGGCAAGAATAAGATTTTATTTTTCATGACATCGAGTGAAGTTGCAATTTTTGTACAGTTCAAGTTTCATTGTTATAACAAGCATGGAGTATATAAATTAGCTTGATGAGGCCATGAGGATGAGTATTATATTCAACGTGAAACCTTAGCCGATCTAGAACACAACCTAAACACATGTTGTTTGTCGGATTGTCTCATAACATTTGTTTAAACAAAGACATCAACAATTTATTAAATTGCACACAAGTGCTCGCACAAGCTGAGTTATTGCCTCTTAATTCAGTAAAAGTAAACATAAACAAGAATGGCACCTCAAACTTCACTGATCCAATTTCAAGTTTCTCCTTCACTTCTTTAAGAACATCAGGCTCTGCAAAAAGGACAATACAATCAGAAGTTGGATAAGACACATTTGCAATGTAGAACTTCAAGAACTTCAGGTTTTCAAACAAAAAAAGACACCACCCCCGGTACTCAACAAAAGGATGGCATGATGAAAAATACTGAAGAGAATACCCCAATACCCAAACAAAATATGTGTATCCATGAACTATTGCCCTTACAATTTGCTGCTTACTTAATAATTACCATGTAATCTGAGATCAAACAAAATACAGCTACTGCAAACGGATTATAATGACGATTCATTGGAACAAATGGAGCCGGGTAACCATCCTTCATACATTTCATAAATCAAAAGTTTCTAGAATGAAATCAAGAATAGAGCCAAAACGACAGACAGGATCTTAAAGGGGTCGCATGAACCTCGGTGAGAGGTGTAGAACTCCAATGATAGCAATCTATTGTACCAAATGGACTTTCCAAACAGTGTGCGCATGAATGCAGGTTTATATATAATTGGTTGATTGGAATAGATGTGATAAATCAAATAAACAATTTTTTGTTTTGTACTCCTTTTCCAAAATGGATGTCAACTTTACTATTTTGGTCAAACCCCTTCCTCTTCCTTATTTTCCTTATCAAAGCTAATCTTCCTTTACTCATTTACCTACTGCAATAGGATCCGTTGATGCAGAAACGGGTTGTCCCTCAACTCCATCATCTCTTACAGGAGTATAAATGACCACCAGCCTATATCCCACATCATCAACATTCGCTTCATACATCCTTCCTGTCTCCCCTGCACCATAAATGGGGAATTAAAAAAGAATATCAGCATCTTGTTCCATGAAAATGGTCCAAGTCTATTGAAGAATGAATACGTGAGTAAAATGAGCTTATACTTGTTACCGTGTATCTCTACAAATTTATTTAGCTAGCTTGCAGGAACGTGATGTATACCAATTACCAAGTCTGTGTACCCTCATATGTGTCAAAGTATCACTTTTCAGAATTTAGGAAGGTCATGTCGAACTAACATGATAAGCAGACTGAATGGTTTTCTCAAGTGTGATCTAGCATTGCCTTAACGCATGAAATGGGAGTTTCTAATATGTTTGGGGGGGGAGGGGGGACTGGTACTTTTTGAGGAATTCAGAAACCAACTGAAAAAAAATATAATAAAGAGGAAAAGAACACATAGTATTTAACTATCTAATAATAATACTTCAGCATACCAGGAATGGAAATGAGATCAGGACTTCCAACTATTGACCTAAGCCACTGAATTTTACTTTTGCCCTCCTTTCCACCACTATAAATACCACGAACTGAAAACAAATTGGTGTGAAACCCTCTCCCCTCAATCTCAAGCTTATTCATCTTAGGCATACCTGAAATTAGCAAACTGTTATGTATATATAATCACAAAATCTACAAACAGAAAGTCTGAGGGACAATAAAATCATGTTTTGGGCAGGCTATATTTCAGAGTCACTTGAACACGAGAACTCTACACCAAAGCAAGGAAAAATATTAATCAGAAGCTCATGTCAAGAAAGCGAAAAAAAGATGTCTGCTTGAAAAAAGAGACACAATGGCCTAAATAATAAGGATACAATTTTAACTCTTGAATTGCTTAAGATAGCACATTTTCCCTATCTGTAAACCTCAGAATATAATTAGATTATATTTCAAGTTTAAAAAAAGAAAAGAGACAAAACAGAAACGGACTTCACAGCAGACTACTGGGCAAACAAAAAAACAAATGTTAAATCTATAAAATGGAAAAGAGAGATGATTAACCCTGCATAACCAGCTACACACCTGGCAAAATAGAAGCAGTTTCGGCATAAGCAGGATCACTTGACCTTCCAAAAATATCAGTCGCAATGCATTCACACCTAATAGAATGACCTATGTCCTCAAAGCGAACCTTGTATGAGCATGAATGTTGTGATGGTAAAGGCTCAAAGAAGATTTCACTTCCATTTTCAGATGAAATGAACCTGCAGCACGTCAATGTGAGAAAAGTTCTTCTATCTACTCAAACTATCCAAAAATAAAATAAAATAATACGCAGGTACAAATTTGGAAAACTGTAGTCAACTATAATACAAAAAAGGGATAATTGCTGCTTGAAGATCTGACAACCAAATGAAAATCCATAATATATCATGATTGATATATCTTTCAGTTGTGATATTATTTCAAATAAAATTCACACGTGATGAAAGATATAGTCCATTACCCATATAATAACAAAACAACAAATTTCAAGCATAGTTTAAAAATAATTAGTGAAGGGTAAACATGTAGAAGTCATATAAGGAGCAATACCACTGGTATCTGACATCTTTCTTGTATTTTCCCCAAACATGTTGTTGGCTTTCACTCTGTGGAATGACCTCGATAGCGGTCAGTACATCCCCTTCAATATCCTTTCCAGAAAGAACTAGTTTCTCAATTATTGGAAGCTCTGAATTGCAAAAGAAAAAAATTTCAGAAGCTGTGGGTTTTATTTAAGGTTATATGTACTAGGCTGCAAGTTAGAGCTGATATTTAGCATGTTCATCTACAAACAAAAACGATTACTGCATGTTGCATGAAATAATTTTTGGCACATGCATGGACTGAGCTATGACTTTGTACTACAATAATTGCAGACCTTCCATTCAAAGATTTGAGTCACAATGCAACTTTAAGAGTAGTACTCCCTCCATCTCAAAAAAAGACTTAATTGGATTCGGCATGGAATTTAAAAAAGTAAAATTGAATTGTTGAAAGTGATGCAAAGGAGAAAGATTGTAAGCCAAAAAAATTTCTATAAATGAAAAAAACGAGTCTTTTTTGGGACATTTAAAAAATATATGAGTCCTTTGTTGGGACGGAGGGAGTATTGAATTATTTGCTGCAACTAGATTGACTGGTTGATATAACGAAGACATGACACAATTACAGTTGCTAATATCAATAGAGGCGACCGCCTGTAGATGTTCAGGTGAGGCACTGTCCACCTTTCTCGCCTGAGTCGTTCACTTTTCTAGCCTTTCTCTCCAAATTTGTTTGCCTTACTGGATATGGGCCTTTTAAAAAACGAGCTGGCATTTTTTAAATACATTTCTACATATTAAAAACTTGTTTTTTTTTGAGAAACATATGTAGTAACTACTCTAATTTTTTTGTTTAACACGTATGACTTGTTTGGGATTGACATTATTAATTGCACTGCACTATATATTTGATGTATATGTGCATGCCCCAAGTTTGCCTTTTGGCCGTCCACCTCTCGCCTCGACTTTCGCCTTAAAAAGGCCCTCTCGTCTTTCGCCTTTCAAAACTATGAAATTGTCAGAGGGATGAACCTGGGAGAATCACATCAGTTGGTTGAGATGATGTAAGTTCTCCAGCAACGGAATCCGAGCGGATCGGTGCATATCTGCAAGATGAGTCATATTGTTTATGAAGGTGAAATTTAAAAAGAGCATTCTTTCTTCCTAAAAAAGAGGGAAGAATTGGAAAAATGCAGCAAATTGGTTACCCAAATATAAGGCGACATGTATAGTCTTCATCAGTGACTTCATATGCTTTAGAATTTGCTCCATCAATGAGAGTTGTTTTTCCATCATTACTTTCTCTAAACCAGCTGAATAAGCTCGATCCTTCATGACCACCAAAATATTTGCCTTCTCCTAGGTAAGAACTTGATGATAACTCCTTTATATGAATGTTGGAAACTACAGGGGAAGCTGCCATACATTTTATTTCAACATTTTAATAAACTTTGAAATGATTTTGAACTTAGAAAACTTGACAAAGCAGAAATGAACTGCTGCAAATAGAAGGAAACTTTTTTCAACAGGGTATTCACAATAATCCAAGACTAAAGATTTAAAAATCCATTGAGAGATATAAGATAAGCTCGTGTGTGATTAAGGCCATGTTCTCCTCAACTTATTCTTTTTACTTATTACTTATTCTTATTGGAATCAGACCAGATCAGATCAGAAATAATTTTAAATATAACTACATTCAGATAAGATAAGACCATATCAGACCAGATCAGATTAGAACTTATTCCAATCAGATAAGGTGAAGAGAACATGGCCTAAATGATGTAATGAAACAATCATGCAGATAATACTGACTTGATTACAAACGATCACAACTAAATAATACAAGTGGGCATGTGTAGTATAAGGAACTCTTAAGCAAACAAAATGAGGAATCTACCAGCAGAAACAGGAGATTCACAAATAGAAACCATTGACTTTCCAGATTTCCCATCAACACGAGTTGGAAGCCAGTATAGAGCCAAATATGCTCCTACATCTTCAAGAGAAGGAGTGTACGTTCTGGCACAAAATCATTTATATGAGCGCTGGCAATTCATCATGTGGTGTGAACCAATGAACAGTTTAAACTTACAAAGTCCTGCAACATATATGAGCATGGACTTGATTGTGCAGCGCATCAAGAAGTACGGATCCTTGAAGCTTATCCGTTACCCTAAACCAGGTATATTCTCCAACACCTTCTTGCCCTCCGAAGTAACTCTTTCTAGGAATAGCCTCCTTGCCTTCATAGCATTCGGGAATTGTTAACTCAACCCCCATTGGTTCCCCTATGTCAAGGAAATTTTGTTTGGTAAAGAAGATTACCAAGAAGATAATACACACAGATAGAAAAACACCGCATTGCCTTGACAATGTACTTTTTTATTTCCAACAACAACCCTGTAGATTCCCACAAAAGCAGGGTGTGGGTAGGGTGTGTCTAGTGTCTACGCAGACCTTACCTCTACCAACAGTAGAGAGGCTGTTTCCAAGAGACGCCCAGCTCAATTTTTCTTATCTCCAAATGATGGTTGGAAAGAAATGGTAATGCACACTGTTATAACACAACCTGCTGATTCATGGTAGTCCAAGCTAATTCTTTTTTCATTTACCCTTAGATGACAGAATAATATTGTTGTATCAGATGCAGTATTGCAGTGTACAGTATAGTAATTCGCTCAATGAAAGAATAAAATTTAACACCAAATGAGACAAATCTACCATCACGATATGTACAGATGTGATATTCAGAGAACCGACACACGCGACTTACTCAAACATTTAATCTTACAAAAATGTATAAATTGGCACATCAATGAAATAAGCTCACCGGGCTTTACAGGTCCAGACAGAATAGTCTTGGGACTTCCTTTTAACCCATCTTTTCTTATAGGAGTGTAAACGAGCTCTATGCAATTTCCCACATCGTCTATAGTTAAATGCAAAACATCTGCCCAGAAAATGAGATCACGTCAAATATTTGCAGCCTCGGAACTATTCAAGAATAAAATTTTCAATTCAGGAGAACTTGCCGCTAGAACTAAGTTTGTCTTTGACACCACAGGTTTTCACTCTAAACCATTCACATGTACATTCACCCATCTCCCTGCAGAAGAAGTGAAAAAAAGGGTCAAAGATGGAAGAAATCATGAAATGGAAATTTATATATTGGATACATGACTAGTAGTTCAACCCGCCAGTATAAGAAGCAGTGAAGCCAACATGTCCCCCTTCAACCAAAGATCCGTCAAATTCAAGCAAATGACAAACTGGTGGACCTGAAATAAGAGGTTGCACACATTTTATATATTTCAAGTTTTATGACTTTCAAAAAGAAGATTTTAGATGTACACCAGTTGTCTGCCATTAGAATTTCCAAAGTGAGTAACAGCACAAATAGGGTGTGATGGGGATCATCACCTCATCAAAAACAAGCAGAGAGGTAAAGCCAATGGAACACAGAATGCCTATCGTTTGCAGAAAAATTTCCTGATTTTTTCAGCTCCATTTTTCCTCTCATATTCTCCATTTTTACAGTTTAATTTTGCAAAAGTAATAATGTGGCCCAACTAAAAGTAAAAAAGAAAAAAGTCAGCTGATGGAAACACAAGTGGACTGTTGTCCATGTACTCCTTGCCAATATTTACAATTTGAAAAAGACATGTTTTTGAACTTCTCCAATCATTTTTATATATAACCCCTTTTCCTAGTTTTACATTCCTCTTATTTATTTCCTACATTTTCCCTTTGATATGCATCCAAAAAAACAACATTACAGGGAAGATGATCCACTAATCTATTCAGATGACATTTAGACACATTTGTATTTGCCTAGAATAATAAGTAAGCAGTGAAAGGATTACTGAAGTTGAAGAATAATTTGGATATAACTAGTATAAGTTATTTGTATATACCTGGAAAGATAGGTCCAACTTGTTCTGAAAGAACAGTAGGACCACGGGCCAAATCACAGCGGATAGGTTCACACAAGACAGATATGTAATGCCCGACATCATCAATTGAAAGTGAATATGACGAATTTGTTGCACCATCTATTTCAACACATGTTCCATCAGAACTAGTCTGCACAAAGCACTTTTAGCAGTAAGCCAGTGTCAAAGCTGATCCAAGAAAAATACACGAAATTGTTTAATTACCATGGATGTCAGGTCTTCAACTTAAGGTTCTTATAAACTCCCTCCGTCCCACAAAGGTTAGCACACTTTGACTTCACGATTATTAAGAAAAGCGATGAAAAAATGTTAAAAAGTGACAAGTGAGTAGTTAGGATTTGTTTGGAAGAGAGAAGCATTTGGACCACATACTCTTTCCCAAAAAGGAAAGAGTATGTGAAAAAATTTATTTTGGGAGAGATTATAAAGGAAAGTGTGAAAACTTTTGTGGGAGGGAGCCACGGAGGGAGTATTGAAAAAGGTTAAAGGTATAAAAATGATTAAGATTATTCTTTGGCATGTTTGCATACCCTGAACCAGTGGTAGACAGAGTCTCCCTCTTCACCACCCCAATATTTTTTTTCTACATTTAATGTGGTGCCTTCGACACCATCTCCAACTATTAGAAGAGAAAGCAATCTTGGAGCTCCTGGAGAGACAGAATCAAAATAAATAGTATCAGAATAAGCACAATTGCCTTTTGGGTGGCATTATAAAATATAAATTAGTAAGGTGAGTGAAGCTCAAATTGAGTACAAATCCAAAGCCACTTTGGAAAAAATTCAGCACATTCCCAGTTATAGGGTTTTTATAATTAAATGATTTCATTCTAAAATGTCAAGCAATGCTCTTAATGGTATTTCAGCTTTACATATAATGGGGTAGTGGAAGTGCCAACAGGGCCTATAAGGCTTTTGTCTTTCTATGGATATTAAAGAACATAATATTTTAAGGTGATGAAAACTCTCACACTACAAGAAACGGTTATAGATAAAATTACCTGGGCAAACACGTTCCTGGCCCTTGCAATCTTTAGACTCACCGATTGTGCCATCATCCCGGACTGGAGTGCATTTAAACGAAACAAATTTGCCAATGGCATCCTTAGTTAAGCTAATTTGAAGAAGACCTGACACTTCAGGTATTTCAACACCAGAGTCATTTTCAACCTGTAAAAATAAGTCATGTAACTGGTGTCCAGAAATAGCAAACAATCCTATAACTGAAATACAAGAGGACAATAGAGAGCAGGTGAGGACTGAGGGTGCGTCTGTTGATTACAATAATAAATCCTAAATTCAATGTAATTAATGTGTTGCCACTTGGTGCAAATGCAATACCTTTATTTGTCAGGTATTAAATGTTATCCTTATGTGTATCAGCTTGGATAACTTTTATTATAGGCCATGTAGTAGAAACTTAAGAATAGACCTAGCAATCGGTTCAGTTCAGGTCTGGATCTTTTCGGTTCAATCTCTTTCAGATATATGTTATAATCAGTTCGGTTTGATTTTTTCCCGGTTTAGGTTAGATATCGGTTCAAGTTTATATTGGTTCAGGTTTATACCGGTCTTGGATGAGATCCCTCGGTATTAGGGTTCCTAATGCTAGCCTTGTGTGTAGCCTCCCCTCCTTATGTGTAAAGGGGGTATATATACACGTGTCACCAATAATGGGCCAGTATATCCATCAATGTGCATTACGATCATACAATGTCACCATAAATTGGATATACTTTGTATACAAATAGACAACCACCTTAGTTTAAGTGATAATATACGGAGTAAAAGATTTGTACATGCAAGCAGTTGTACCTATAATTCAAATATGCTTTTCTTAGAAACACATCAACTAATGAGCTATTAGGTTTGACTGGATTTGAGTTTAATTTATTTTGAATTTGATCAATATCGGGTCTAATCAGCTTTGGGTCTAATCGATTTAAGTCTAATCGGTTCCGGGTAAATCCAGTTCGGATTCAATCACACTAGGATCTGAATCGAGTCTGAATACATTCGGTTCGATTTTGGTTTGGTTCAGATCAGATCATTTTGGGTGTTCAGTTACAATTCGGTTCTTCAATTTTTGGATCATTTCGGATTTGATTCCGGGTTATTCAGTTTGGGTTATCGGGTCCGGGTATGTTTTGCCAAGTCTACTTAAGAAGCTCTTTCATACTATGATATTGTTTATTATTCATTAATTACACTATTTGCTTAGATTAAGAGAACGAAGTAAATGCACCTCAACTATCCAACACAATTTCAATATACCTCATGAAGGTACCATTTGTAAATACTTTTTCCCTCATGACCACCAATATAGCCATATGATGCAGATAGAATTCCACCCTCGATGCAATCACCAGTGAGTGATAAAAAGTTCAGGCTGGGTGGAAGGGCTGCACATGGTTCATATTAGCCAAACTTCAGCATAATAACCAAGTAATCATAACATCTGAGTCAATAACAATTAAGTCAAAAATAACAATGTTACAAGTACAAGGGTTTAAACTTTGAACGACTTAGGATCCCAAGGTCTTGCAGGTAACTAATTACCCACAGGTTTTCATCAATTATTATTGGATAATTTGTTTTACACTAATACTTCTAGACTGAAATTTTCTATAGGAAATAAGCCATAGATTTACTAGTTTGCAAAGCAAAATTTCTTCGGAACTCAGATTTTGAACAATACATACATTCAAGAGCACCAATGTAAAGCACCCCAGCTAAAAGATGAGAATATTGTAACTATATGCTAAAAGTCATAACTCAAAACAATATCAGTTGAACATACTTTCAATGTCTTTTTCAGATAAAATATAAGACGGTTCGCCAGCATCGCCCTCTGGAGACATAGGAGTAAATTTTGCAACAAGAAAGTATCCAACAGCTCCTAATGGTATTCGGAATGCCTGAGAGAAAGGCATCATTTCAGTGGACACAAACAACAGAGCTGATATTTAGATACAACAACAACAACAACAACAACAAAGCCTTATCCCACCAGGCTTTGCTGATATTGCAAAGCCTTATCACAAACAGCAGAGCTGATATTTAGATATCACAGATTAATGTTTTCACCTTTGCAATTTTGGATGTGCTCAATGATTCAAGATTTTTCTCACTGTCAAATGAGGGTGAACAAGTTTTGAACCATTGAACCCTACTGGACGCTTCAGTTCCTCCTGTAACAATACCAGTTACTGTGATTTTGCTTCCTTCCTTCAGTTCTCCAATTATTTTCAAATTTGTTACTTTTGGGGGAGCTGCCATAGTGAACAGGAAAAGGATTAGCCCCTAATATTCCATACAGATCATCTTCATGAATTGAAACTTTATGCACGTCAACATGTTATATGAACTGTGAAAAAGCAAACCTTTCTTAGTAATCGGAGACACAATTGATGCAGATTTTCCCTCCTGGCCTGCAAAAAAAGGGAAAAACAATCAGCATTCCCAAAATTTAATAACAGCTTATAGAAATAAGAAAATCAAATAATGTACTGAATGTCAAGCATATTGATTCTTGCCTTCAAAGTTAACAGGTACATATACAAAAGCTAAACTGCGCCCAACGTCCTCCTTCGTCAATGTATATTCATTTGTACCAGTTGAGACTGACACAAATTCCCTATTCCAGACAAGAAAGCTTATAGTATAAACAAATTTTTAGGAGTGCAAGACATTTTCATCAAGTAGATATCACAATACACTCTAGAGAGAAAACGTCTTGAAGATTCTTGTATTAAAATTCAATTAAAATTATAGGCTAAGGTTCCTATTTTGGCTAGATAGATTTCCCTTGGTTCAAGAATTTAGTATTTTCATCCATTTGACCGCAGAGTGTCTTATTAATACAGAATATAGCCACTTGGAGCAGAACAATGAAGGAGTATAAAGTAATGGCGGATCTTACATCTCTAATATACAAGGAAAGAGTGCTAACCTGGTTTCATTATCTTCACGCAACCATTCAAATTTGCTAGGACCTTCCCTACCACCAAAATATTTTCCAACTCCCTTAATGACATTACCTTCAATAAAATCTCCAATGAAGTGCAGCCCACTGACAGAAGGGGAAGCTATCAATGCATAAAAAAACAATATTCTTCAGATGACCTAACACAATGAACCAATAAATGACCTAACCCCAACCGAACCACTCAATGATTTCTCTCAAGGTGGAATATGCAGTAAACTTAAGAGATATCAATTGTTCCTATTATATGTGATCTCCTCTATGAGTTACATACTTGAGGTATTAGAAAGAAAATTAAAATGGAAATATAGAGGGAAGACACTACATAGTAGATGATGAATTGTTAAAATATATCACTTGTGATTTATTGAATTAGAATGATTGTCATCGCTTGATGCTAAAGAGAAAAGAGATGCCATTGGTTGAAATACCCGAAGTATTAGTTACGATATATTGATCAAGGTGTGGTCTGCTATATGGATTAAGCTTATGCAGTGCCATTTTTCATATTAAGATTTGAGAGGCATTGTCTCTATAAGGTAAGTACTTGCAAGGTCTAAAAAAACAAAGTAAAATGGAAAGAAAGAGGCATGACACTACATTGCAGGTGATGAATTGTTTAAATATAATGACTACAGTTCACTGATTTGGTTTGATTTTCATAGCTTTAGCATTGCATGCATCTAACAAAGTCTGTGCAGGTTAGACTGGTCAAGTAGTTGTCCACTACCTGCAGATGTTCATTTTAACAAGTGGTTATATTTTAACCCAAAAAAACGACCAGCATGTATGTAGCCGACAATTAGAACAGATCACTCCAAGTAAAATGTGGATAAACACATTACAGCTCGTAATGGTCATTTTAATTTACCACCAGCGCAACTCAACCAATCCAGCCATGCACACTGTTTCCCCTTGAGCCTGCTATACTTAACAGTTAACAGCATCGATTTTATATCAAGAAACATAACTGAATGGAACCCCGCCCCGCCTCCCCAGAGACATAAAAATGAAAAAAGCATGGCCAGCCCTTTTGTGCAAAGTGTACGAGACCTTAAGGAATTGTTTACTATTACATTTCAATTTTATGAGATTAGAAGACACTCATGAAAAAAAGGCAGATTATCAACTAAACTTTCTAGTGAGCAACATAACATGTTGCATTGACACTTGGAAACTATTCATCAAATGAGAAAGAAATCCCCACAAAGAGGACATCTATGCTTGAACCCGTACCTGCTCTAACATAATCTGTTATTGCATATTGTGGTTCCCCTTTAGAGCCTTCTTCAGTAACGGGGGTGTACATAAATACCATACACGAATCAATGTCATCAATATTCAGTTGGTATTCATCACCCTCAGCGCCAACAATGACCACGGGGCTGCTATTCCATTTTTTCCTAAGCCAACTGAAAATCAAGAACATTATGTGTTAGATTTAGTGGGTTTAAGGGTGTGCTTTCCTTGACTTGTGGGTGTATGGGGAAGGGTACTCCCACTTCAATATATTATATATGTATAAACAATATAAGGGGAATGAGGAGAGGAAAGGAAATTCGGGCACCCTCCCCTACATTCAAACCAAACAAGGGGAAAGGATATGTTTCTCTCCCCTCCCCTATCAAACTAATCACAACCTACAAAAATGTGGAATCTGATATTTCATAGGTAGAAAATTTAATACAACATTACAACTATCTCACTTTGAAACACTTTTCCCAGGAGTACCACCACACCAGGCAACTTCTGCAAAACCCTTTATTATGCATCCCTCAACCAGATCCCCAAGTGCTTCAATTCTTAATACTTTTGGACAGCCAGTTCCTTCACGAAAAACAAAATGGAAGTAATCATTGAATCGACCCCCAAATGATTAAGTTGCACAACATATTTATCCACAAGTGTGCTATTTTTTCATGTTCTACACCCATAGTGTCTACCTCATGGTTGTTATGGGAAAAAAACATACCGCGGGATACTGGATACGATATTGCAAAAATGGTGGGATATTCCATTTCTCCCAGGACAGGAGTGCACTCCACTTTCAGAATCCTGCCAATGTCTTCATGTTTTGGCCAATAGACCTGATTGGTATGGAATTAATAATAGGACAAGCAACAGATACAGCCAACCAAGAAAAATCCCATAAAAGGGGCCTGGAAGGGTGGGTGTATGCAACCCTTACTTACCCCTACCTAGGAAAAGTAGAGGCTTTTTCTTTATCAATAAATAACAAAAAAAGTAATAAAATAAACAGATAAGTGAGAAAACCACTCGAAACAGGAAAAGAAAATATTACCTCTCCTACGGCGTCAGATATTTTTACAAAGTTGTTAGGAGTTTTATCTCCTATAAACCATTGGTATTTCAAGACTATTTCTGACGCACTAACATCAGTTTTGTCTTTAGAGAACTTAAAGTGGCAGTAGCAAGCATCTTCTTCAAATGGGGGATCTATAAAAGCTTCTTTGAGGGAGTGTCCTGGAGGAAGCTGCTCCTTCCATTGCTCAAGCAAAAATTGAAATGTCGAGTCTGAAGAAAACACAAAAAACTATTCAAACACAAGAAAAGTAAAGGCAAAGTTACCAAGGGGAATGGAATTCCTTCTGGTAGCTTCTGGCTTTTCAATTTTAGACAGTATACAAACACCAAGTCACATATATGTACATGTCAGTCATCAGCACATACTATATAGAGACACAAAAGTTTCTCTTTTAGCTCCTTTGATCAGTGAATTTAAAATTTCAACAGTTGAGGTTAAGACTAGAATACTTGTTTGCATTGGAATTATACTAAAGGAATGGATAAAAATAACTTGGCAAATCAAGGCAGATGCATGTAGATAAAAATCAAGCACCAGAAATGCATCAAGAAACAAAGTACTGTATGTACTGCACTACTTCAGTAATGGACCATACTCCATAGAACACAAGAAACACTTACAACCCTTCTCATTCCAACTATATAGAATGATATTAAATTCTGAACTATGTGTAGTTCATAAAACTAAAGGGTACAATTCAGAAAACAAATCTTTGAATCAAGATGCTAAAACATGCAGGCTCTTAAGAACTCACCTACAGCATGATCAGGACGACAGAACTCCCAGCCACCTCTGATGCACAAAGCAGTGTGAGCAGGATAACGTTTGGCAAGTGCAATTTCCTCTCGAGAGAGATCTGCAGGAATTATTAAAAAACATAATTCCTTTAAATATAAAAGAAATTCTTTTAATCAATAGCAGATCTAGAGAAAGGAACCTATTAGTATCCCAACATAAAACAAACAAGTGCATGAGAGAAGTTTTAATACACTGAAATTTCTTGAGTACCTCTGTCATTAAACTTCTTTAGAGTTGGACCCACAAGCAAAATTGACATGGCTTCAAGATGAGACATCTTAAGAATAGGATTCTCCTCTATACGTAAATGCTGCAACTCATCAAGAAAAAAAAATTCAGGTATACTGATTGCATAGTACAACAATTTTCTATTTCTATGAGGAATTACTCTACCACTTATTAGAAGCTTGGACCATATTTTTGGCATTATCCTCAATATGGAGATGAAAGCTAAACTACAAAGTTACATAATATTTCCCGATTTATAAGTAGCTTATGCCATATTTGTTGGTCAATGAACCCAACCCAATAATAAAGGCTAAGTTGGAATGATGGAGATAAAGGTTAAGGGGGTGTTTCTCTGTGCTGGTGTTTATTGACTTATTGTTGATAAGCAGTTTTTTACATATAAGCTGCATATAAGTCAAATATTCGTTCGTGGAAGTATAATGACTTAAATGATAGATAAGTCATTTGCAAATATTCATAAATGGTGAGAAACATTTTTGTAATTAACCTGGTCAAACGGAAAAACAAAAAACGGCTTAAAAATAAGTAGCTAAGACATACCTATTTTTTCTGACTTATAAGCAGCTTATAAGTCAGCTTATAAGCACACAAAAACATATCATCAGCTGACTTATAAGTGAAGAACTGCTTATAAGCAATTTTGACCAGCTTATAAGCACAAAGAAACACCCACTAAGTCACAAATTTACAATTTCTCACATGATTTTGATTTACTTAGAGCATTTGAAATTTGGTTGCAAAAAATAATGGATACATTGATCAAAATGTGACATATTATCGAAACTGAATTTCTAAAATGAAGAGAATTTTAGGACAACCTAAAAAAGAAAAGTTGGAAGAAAATTTTCAGACAAATGAAGTATTCAATTGCTTACATCCTTAAGACCATAACTAACCTCTAAAGAAGGTAAGTGTGGAAACCCTTTTAAAGTTGATATCTTGTTCTTGCTAGCCGCTAAGACCTGCACAAAATGTTAGTGTTATACACGTTGCCTAAAATGCAAGAAGCAACCAAAACTCAAACCATCAAATCAGAAAACAGTGGGTTGGTCGCGATAAATGTAAGAAGCCAGAAGCCTCACATCATTATGCGTATCAAACAATAAACTACATCACTATGCATATCAAAAACAAACAAACCTGCAGTCGAGGTTGGCTTGCCATTGAAAGAGATTTTAACTTATTCTGGGCAACGGAGAGGAACTGGAATTTCCCAAAGGAGAGAAGTTAAAATAATAACTCGTACAAATTAACAAGGAGCCAATAACTACTCCTTGTAATTAATAATGAAGTGATTTATAGTTTACCTCTAAATTAGGAAGCTCGGGAAGGCTTTTCAATGATAAAATTTGATTCCCGGCAAGATAAAGTTGCTAAATTAATAAATGGGTCATTTTAGATGCTTATAAAAACAATGGCATACATTGTAAAGATAATGTTCATATTGAATGGACCTTGAGAAATGGCTACCTGAAGGGCTTTGCAATTCTCTAGTGGTTTAAATCCTGGACCTTTGAAATCATTGAAGCTCAAGTCAAGAACCTAAATACGGCAATACAATGTAAAATATAAACATTTTGGATCCATTGGAAACAGATGGCAAAAGTTCGTTTGAAAAGCTTTACAGGTAGAATCATTTTTCTCAATAGAACTTGGTAGTAAAGAATATTTTTTATACAAACCTTCACCCGCTTTAGTACTTCAATACCATCCAAGGCAGACAAGAGGTTGTCTCTCAGATAAACAAACTGCAATAAAAACAAATAAAAGAGTACTCATATTTTCTGAATTTAATTTCCCCTAATGTCATGGTACTCGTATATGAATGAATCTATGCAGCCCCTTCTCTATCCATCTAAAAGAGGATCACAATTCACAACCCCTTCTTATCAACATTACTCTATACATTGGGGAAGCTCATGCAAGGAATTAATGTCACCTCAATTCCTTCAGAGTAAAAGGTAAAAAGAAAGCCAAAGCAAGTGAGCATTGTAATTTAACGAAACGGTGTGCATGTAATCGAAGCTAGATATACTCAGAACATGAAGTATGGAACAGGTTGTGCATGTGGTATATTCAAACATAGATAACTGTCAAATGAAGGACTACATCTTCTGGTAGTAAATTGGTACTAGTTGATCTTGCAGAAAATTGGCCCACGCAACTTTTTTTCATTCATAGGTGTCAAGTTTAAACTTTGTACACTAAAGGAAAAGTTACCTCTAAACTGGGTGATAAGTTCAGCCCACCATTGTTGAGATTACGAATCCTGTGACCTCTAAGGTCCAGCCTCTAGTGATTGAAAATCAAAGAAATTACTGTCAGGAGATATTTAAAGATATGAATGAAGATAGATAAAACAAATCACAAAAATGAAAATAAAAAGTTTAAGCAAAATACCAATTACCAAACTGGAATACTGGATGTCCTAAAAATCATCAGGGAAAACTGTGTAAGTTGAGATTAAATTCATTCTTTCACTTTACTAGAAGGTTGTCGTAAATATTTCAAAAACAAACATCTTACACTTTTATTAATCTTTCCTATAAAGGTTTTCTTCTTCCTCTTTTTAAGATACATTTTTCAGCCTTTTATTATTCCATTTGCATTCATACATCATCATTTCATATAAATGAAAAACAAGACCAAAAGATTACAATATATTAACCAAGCCTTGGGAAAATATTCAAGAAGCAAAAATTTCCATAATTCAAAAAACTGTCTACCATTTGATTTAGTATTACATAATCATACTCCGTTATTTTTCTAAAAGGGCTTGACAACGCTTATATTGAACTTTTGGATTGCAAAAAGTGAAGTTCATATGTTGATTGAGCGTGGATTAGCATAGATGTAAGGTACAGAGCACATCTTAGCACAACCTGCAAATGTGATAAACACTTCTTATAAGAAATGGCCAAAACTTGTACCGAAAGTCATGAAGATGAACCGCAAATAGATCTCATACTGAATGGGATATAAAGTGATTCAAGAAGATGCTAATAACAGAATTGCTTGGGTGAAACTGAAAATATCTTATCCAAAGCAATCTTCTGCCTAAATGTGTGAGTGGCTTCCAGAATCAGATGATGTTCTCCACTATCATTTGGAGAAGGAAAAGATTCTATGAATATTCAGGCCTTCTAAAAAATAATTATATCAATGCAGTATGAAATTTATTATCTAAGATTTTAAAAAGATCATAAAGGCACACAAAGCAATGCCTCATAACCTAAAGATAGTAAATACAAATATTTATGCCTCTTTACTCATAGCAAGCCTATCTGGTGCTAACCTATGAACAGTTAAGTCTTTTTGTAGTACGATTTGTGATAGTACGTTAGTAAAAGGTAGTCAGAAAAACATCCAGCATGCATCTGAAATGATATATAAGGTCTTTGGCTCCGGTGTTGAAACAATGGCAAGGAATTCCCTATTAAATAGTCCAAGCAGACATACAATCTTTTTCACTTAATATTCCATTTATGCACACTAAAACACAACACAAGGAAAACGTAAATAAATTCAATCATGAAACCACTGGCTGAAAATATTACCACATCATCACCAGCTTTAATCTCCACTTGAGGAAGCATAATAAGACGTGAATCCCAGCTTCCAGTAGCCCCAGCTTTCTTACGGTTAGAAAACCCTGAGCTTCTTTCCAATGATGTCGATGAAGACCTAGTCCTAGATCCACTTTTAAGTGAAGGTAAACGTGCACCCGGAGATAACAACTTTGGAGCTACCTTTCTAATTGAGCCACTACTTTCCGTGCTGTCAAATGACGTCGGCTCGGGACTCCTAAGAGAAGTTGAAGGAGATGATGATTTTATTGAAGCCTTCTTAATAGAGTCTTTTTTGAATGCCTCAGAACTGGATGAAGTTCTCAGAGTTTTAACAGGCGATAGAGGGACTGACTTTCTAATTAGCGGTGTATTTGATTGTGTAAAGGATCTGACATTTACAGAAGGCATAGAGCTTCTTCTGATTTCAGGAAGAGATCGCCTAGTGGGATCTGACATAGAGGATGATCCCTGTTTAGCAACAACAGGACTTGCATTGCTCGTAGACCTCTTGGTAATTGCGGTCGGCTGTTTTTCAGGAAGTCCACCAGTGCTATTCCTTCTGGCAACTGGGGTAGATTTTGAAGCACTACTAAGGGTAGATTTTGTTAATGTTGACAGCCTGACCCCACTAGAACTAGTATCAGCATCATTCATTGATTCACCTTCCTTATCTAGACCAAAACTCTTTCTTAAATTCTGTTTCACATTCTTAGTAGACTTAATGCTCTCAGTGGAAGGTTGTGTCTCTGGCTTGTCAGCAAAATCCTCAGCCACAGTCAGTGTCTCTAACTTTGGACCTTGCGACTCTTCCAAAACATCCCCGTTCGACCTTGTGACTGAATCATCCATTCTGGTGTGCCACTGTAGTGGAAGAGAAACAATATTTTCAACAAAAGTTTTCGGGGAGGGAGAATACGAATAAATGCATGACAACCATCAACAATTTTAACAACTTAAGTAAAATACTTTTTAATAAGTTCAAAGAAAGTATCCATGAAGTAATATGCTAAAGAAAATGAGGGGAAAAATACTCCATAATTTCCCTACTAAAAGGACTATTATTCCACATTTCAGATGCCATGTCATTTTTTTACAAAGCCATTTCCAGTTTTGAAAGTTTTAACATCAAATGCATATCATGATTCATAATTTGAGTAAAACACATTTAGATGAGCTAAAAAAACGAATGAATTAGATCCAGAATAAAAAATGCACATGTCCACATCAATTTCTCTCCACTTCCAGGCAATTCAAATAGCAGCACTGGACACAAACGGAGCAAGTAAAACGGCCGGCGGCTCCGTACAACCGTACATCGGCGACGCCGGGATCTGGCGCACAGAGTGACAGTGGAAAGGCACTTACCTAACTGCGTTTACTTTGGGGTTTCGCAGGAGGAGGAATCGTTGGGAGCAGATCATCCATGGAGAGAAAGCTTTCAAAGCGTTACAAGAAAAAATGCTGCAGATAGATAATGTGATGATTAAATGAGTAAATGAAGGGAGACTTTGCCATCATTTGGAAAACTTTTTGTCTCTCAAATGCCTAACCGCTGTCTGCAGCTTTATTCGTTTTAAGGCAATAAAATATCCACTCCAACCCCCCACTTTCAAAAAATATTCCGCAGCCGTTGGGAGTTGCTGGGACCCGGTACAACTGTGCTAGAAGATAATTATGTTAAATATAGGATCTTTGCATGTATCAGGTGCAAGCTCCACTCTTTGCCACCAATTTGCGGTTTCAAAAAGTAAACCTCCTAAATAGGAGTAATTAAATAAGTAATAGGTGATGATGATGCTATTCGATCAAATGAGGGAGAACCTAGTTGGCCGTGTGATTTCTGGACGGACAAACAACAAAGAAATAAGAATTAAGAATAAAATTTATGTACATAAATAATATTGAATAAAATGAACATTTTGTTTTCGTTTTAATCCTCATCTAGATGATTGGGTGCTTTGCCGGTTATACAAGAAATTGACGAGTATGAAGATATTAAAGTGGCGGTCGGCGGGCAGAGGCACCCATCCAAATAATTGTATTGGTATCTGAATTTTCTTTCAAATTGGTTGTTAGATTCATTTTTCACTTCTTAAAAAATAATTTTGTAAAATTGATCTAAAATTGTTTTTTTCTAAATGTGCTTTTCTAATGGTTTCAAGATGTTTTCGTACTTCGGTCGCCATAAAGGTGACTGTGAAGTGGGTAATGGTCGCCGGCAAGAGTGGTGCAAGGCACAGGGTCATGTTTTGGCATTTTGCATTGTGTGACACTGTGAATTCGCATGTATGACATTACATATGGTCATCTGTGACATTGTGCATTGTCATGTGTGACATTCTCTGGTGTCAAGTTTGACATTATGTTTTTCTTTTGACACCGTATATGTTTTTCTTTAACACTGTATTGACAATTAATACAATACGACTATGATGACATTGATATTTATAAAAAAAATTAAAGAATATTTTTTGGTGTAACGACTAAAATAGCCGTTGGGGGAGGGGGAATCAACGCACAGTTGTGCGTTAAACGTTTAACGCAGTGGGATGACGCCAAGATGAAGTTTGGAGGGGGGGTGTTTAACACCGAGGAGGCATTAAATGCCCGATGGCACCCCCCCCTCCCCCCGGCGTCAAGGGCATTTCCATTGCTCTTAATATGGTTGCTCGATAAATTTTTTATGTGTGTATTTTCAATAATCATTTAATAAAATAAAAAATTTATGTCACCTCCTGTTTTATAGAATTTTATATGTATTTATAAATAATGTAAATTATACTACTTATTTCTATACCAATTTATAACTAAAATAATTTTAAAAATGATAAGATTTTACAGGTTGTTTAGAGTGTGGTATCCTGTATCCATTGTGGGACGGAGGGGGTATTCCGTAAGTCATGTTCTCTTATTCTTATTACTTCTATTTATTGCTTATTTTTATTGAAATCAGATCAAACCATATTTGAAACAGTTTTAAATATTAATACAATCAGATCAGTATTTATTCCAATGGAATAATCTTGTCGGGTGAAGAGAACATGGCTAAGTCTCAAATTCGATTTCTGACAATTGCAATGGAGACAACGATGGTAAGCATATGGTCTTTGTCAGTACGAGGTGCAGGTCTACTCTTTCCCATCAATCTACCATCAAAGCCCAAAGTACCTTTTTTCAATGATTGTCTGGTCGGGTCTGAGAAGACACTCGAGGATGAGGTTCATCCTTTATAAATACTAAGTCCGAAATTAAACATAATTTTTTATTCTAAAGCAAGCATGTTTATTTAGACCACCTCTGAAGCGCACCCGTCCACCGTATTCATTGTGCAACGATATCGAGATTGTTTGTCCGCACTGATGAATACGTGGATAGATCTGTTTCGTTTTTTATGCCAAGGTAGTATCAAACGTATGGAGGTGGAGACGACAGGGTATCATTTTTTGGGTAATGTTAGAGTAAAAAAAAATATTCACAAAATGCACAAACGTACCCAATATGTACAGTAATGGTTTCAAATAATGGTCTCAAATAATTAAAAAATAAAAACTTAAATACCTAAATAGTAAGTTTCTATATTCACCAAGGTTCAAATGACATTGAACCTTGATGTCTTGGGATGACTCGGAGGCGCTCCGGTGTCCCGTTCGTAAAATTGTGAGTGTTTTGTTTAAGACTCTAGCATTACTCTCATTTTTTTAACCTAACAAATGACACCATTAGTTTTTCAGTTTTTCTTCTGATTAGGATTTTTTATTTTTATTTTTTATTTTTTTTATTTTCCAAAGTTTTTGAATTTGAATACTCCGTATCAATCAAAAATTGTTTAAGGGTGTTGTTCATGTTTATTTTAATGCAATTTTAAGTTTGGTTATGATTTTTTTTTTAAATTTTAATGTAACTTAATTTTTTGTTTAAATAATTATTTAGTTACTCATAATATTTTATATTTATTTAATTTATTTTATTATAAGTTGACTCTTCTAGTACGCCCGCGGCGAGAATTGCAAGTGGTTGATTATTAGATAGATAAAGGCGGAGGAGGAAGAAGATGGAAAACAAAGAAGACAATGAAAGAAGACGTAGCAGAGGAGATGGAAGAAAGAGGAGATACTGGAGAAAATAGGAAGATGAAGATGAACAGATATGATGGAGAAGAAAAGATGGAGGGAAGAATGAGCAGATGAAAAAGAGGGATTATTATTTTGGTTTAAAGAGTAAAAGTGACATTTTAGAATATATTTTTTGCCAAAAAAGAAAAAAGAAAGCGAGAAGATAATTTGTGTATGCCCCAATAAAGAAAGTGAGAAGATTATTTATGGACGGAGGAAGTATAAATTAAGTATAGTGAGGCTCAAATGATACTTACCAGGAATATCATTTGATAACACCCATTCCAATTAGAACATCTACAATACTTTAATAACAAAATTGATAGTTCTTAATCCTCGATAATGCCCCCACATTTCCCATGTCATCTCCCCACGTCAATGCAAAAAATTGAGAGAAATTGAAGGGATTTGGGGGTGGGTTTGTGTTTGGGCAAGGTGAGTGGCTTACTAGAGGAGTTAAGAGCATCAACAATGGCGAGACAAAAATAGAATTTCAAATTGTGACGTGGAATATTTTAACCAATAAAAAATAGTCCAGTCAGCGTGTGGCAAATGAGTGGAGTAGCAAGCTCTATAGTGGTAAGTTATTATTTTTATCATTTTTTTAATATTTTTAAAGAAAAAAATACTTTTATTATTTATTTTATCAAAAAATTATTCTACTTTCTTGTACATTTTTTCATAAAAAATTTTATTAAAAAAACTTAACAAAAAATTTATAAAAAAGAAGAAAAGAAGGGTGGAGTGCCACACCTATGCTTCACCAATTATGTCATTTTACTTTTGTCATGTCATGATATGAGAGGAAGAATCTGATGTGGCAGTGCAAAATAAGAGGTCATAAAACTTTAATGACATCTTAGTGTCAATCAGAACATTATATTTAAGTATGCTTAATAGAAAATAGGTTATTGTACCGAGTAAAGAGATCCAATTTGCAATCAATTATCAACAAATACTTTGGGAATCGTATGAATAATGACATCATTATTGTAGTAAATATTTTAATTTTGGGATTTAAGATTCTTTTATTAATTTAAATTTAATTATGAGTTACACATTTAAATATACTTTCTTTGTGTGAGTTGGTTCTTCTCATTATCATTGCGAGACTTTACTGATTTTATTTTTAATTTAATTTATTTTAATTGTATGTGAAAAATTTTAAAAATCAATATATTAGTCATAAAAAACTAAATAAAAATTTTACTAGTACAAAATAAGAGGTCATATAACTATTATTTTGTAAAATAAATAATGAAAATAATCAAATAATACGAATAAAATTTAAATTTCATATGGCTGCTTTTGGTAAAAAGGTAATGGAAAATCAAACTCATGAAGGCAAAAATGAGGAATTTGACTTGGGGGAGATATTTTACGGCAGTCATTTTCCGTTTCTTCTTCCCTCTCCGCTCTGGGGCATCAATCTCTCCCTCCATAGCCGCCATCTCATAGCTTTCTTCCTCATATCGAAAGCGAATCTTCACGGGAAAGGCCTGAATCCTTGGCCATGTATCCTTTCAGGCCCAACCTCCTGAACACCCTCAGATCCATGAAATACCTTCAGAGAATGCGATTCGTCTCCGCCGATCGGGACATCGCCGCCGCGGCTCACGGCGTCGAGAAGGATCGGGAAGATCAGAAAGCCTTGGACGACGGAATCGCTCACTTATCCATCAAATCTCTGTACAAGGTCACCAACATGGAAGACGAGGTGCTTCCCCTATTACTCTCTTCGGCTATCAATTTCATCGCCTTCGCCGGCAAAAACCAGGACGAGGTCCAAATCTCGCTTCCATTCAGGGCCGCGGATAATTCCGTGAAGGATGCGAATCTCTTCGTCAAGATCGTAGATCCGAAAAGTCCCCCGTCATTCACGATGGTAGATCCTCTCTTTGAGGCGACGCAATTGGCTGAGATGATGGCTTGTATGCTCGGGATGGTTTTGTCGAATGATCAGACTGTAGTGGAGTCTGTTCAGGGCGGCGAGACTCTGCTGGTGATGACGAGGAAGAAGGACCAAGAGGAAGTGCTCAGCAGGGCATTGCAGAAGAGGCTGAGGCGGTTCAGGGACAGGAAATTGATGGGGAAGAAGTATCTGGAGCACATGTTGGAGCCATTGAAGAGTGTTTGAGCTGCGCTGAATGATTGATCCGTGTTCTTCGTCCCTGGTTTTTATGGTTAATTAATTACTAGATGTAATTTCTTCTTGATGTAGAAGGAGAGTTATATCCTTTGATTTGAGATTATTACCCTAAGATTTTTGGACTGTCTTAAAGTATGAGCTGAGCTGAGCTAAGCTAAGAAGAGAACAGTTGAGAGTTAGCCTTTTTCTGGCTTTGTTAAAAAAATCTGCTTTGCATCTTATCATCTGTTCTCTTGTTTTATTTTTCCAATCAATTAATGTTGATAGATTATAATATACTCTGTATTTTACAAAAATGATGGTCTAGATGAATAAATTGTGGTCTAGATGGCACGGCGAATGCCATCTTTTATAAAGGAGATGTTTTTTTCTAATATTATGGTGATATAAAACTGTTTAGTATAAGAAAAAATTCAAGTTTTAAATATCTTTGAACAAAACGTTTTCACTACTTATCTTTTAAGCAGAGTCGGCAGATGAATTTGGCGGTGGCTCCATTATTCACTGTACTGCCAGAGTTGAGTCCCTGTTTGCTCAATTCACCTGGATTCTTCTCTCCCTCTCCTCAGGTAATCTATTTAATTATCCAATTAATTTAAGAGTTTCCTGATTCCTTGGTGTGTGATTTTTAGAGACAGCTCAATTTCCTCCAAAAAGAGATGATTTTTATCGTGTTTCAATTCGGTTGATCAGAATTATAAATGAAATGAAATTACAGCCCTGTTGAAGATTTAAGGGATCTTGGTGAATCCTTTCACTAATTAGTTTCTGAAGTGCCTTAGCTTCCATTTAGTCTTTTTGGGGATTATGATAAATGTTGAGAGACACTGCCTAGAGGCATTTTCTGTGAAGATCCTCATAGGAGCAGGTGATTGTCATCAGCTTTTGGTAGTATGCCATCCTGAGCCGCATGAGAAGTGCCAAGTCAAGTTTGGAGTGTAAGCTAATTTTTAAGTAGAGAGCAGCAGTTAAGTAGTGACAATACTGATTAGAGGAATACATGAATAAAATTCTAACACTAGCCTGTTATCTATTCTATTATGAAGCTTTGAGTGTAGAAGGAAAATGGCCAGATTGCTTAGTTTGCAAGAAGTAGCTACCACCATCTCTAAGGTTATTACCCGGGATAGCTTCAGTCCCTAAAAGTAGCATGAAGTACAAGAATAGACATATTATGAAAAAGATTATTTTTAGGTCATTGTGGATGAGTTGCAGAAAGAGATCATATGAAGCAACATAGTAAAGAATAGAAACAAGACAATCCAAGTTCCAGAATCCAGTACTGATACAAGAACATAGGAAAGAATAGGACAATGTTATAGCATAGAGAATATGAGCAACCAATCAAAACTAGCAACAAGAGTTAAACATGCCTTTCTTTTCATCTCTTTAAGCAAATCCTCAACACCTGCTCTCTGAGCTCCAATAGTCCCCAGTTGCCTCTGCAAAGAAAACACAGCAAGAACTATGTATGTCTACCTAGCATTAGACCCATCTTGCCTATGACAAGTGTTCTCCTTTTACATGAGTATGTGAATCTTATATGACTTTTGGATTTTACAAAACCAGACCCTACTCTTGTGGGATTTAACTGGGTTGTTGTTGTTGTTGGATTTTACAAAACACACACCAATTTGCACAGCCTTCTACTTCTTCTTTAAGATCATGTAAGCTAAAATATGAAGTTCTATCCAGATCATTGATTGGCTGCTTCATCTCTCCCACAAAATGAGATCTGCTACCTTGGGGAGAAAAAACTCAGGTATAACTTTGCTCTAATAAACGGTCTTTTATGTCCCCTCTTTGCCCGGAAAATGTTCATAGGGGTGTGGGTGCCACGTTTTGAAACCACGAAAACTTTAGAAATAAGTTTTGAAAATAGAGCGAGTGTTGTTGCCAATTTCCCAAACCACAGGAAGCGCCGGAGTTATTTGGCCTTTTTACTCATAAACTAAATCATGGATGTATAAAGCAAAGCTGATAGCCATTTAAAATAAAAAACCTAGTTATATCCCCCTACCAAATATCATTAGGTTTATATGAAATAGCTAAAATATGTTCGGTCCACATGATTTAAGACCGAATATATATATATATATATATATATATATATATATATATATATATATATATATATATATATATATATATATATATATATATATATATATATATTCTACATTCAAATCATGTCTTTGTAGTGTTCCGGAAGATCAATGAAATTTACAAGAGCTTTATAGTAAAAAATTTAAATACATTCAAACAACACCAAAGAGTTTACTGTGTTAAAAAGGAAGTGACAATTTTAATTTCTCTTGATTAACTGCACTCCCAATATCTAATCTATTTGGAGTTCGAACCCACATCTCTTATGCCATTGCATAAATGCTTCACCTGTTGAGCTAATAGGTTTTCTTATGTATAGGGCAGGCTACAGATTAATTCTCTACGGACAATTTTAGATTAATTATGTCAAAAAATTGAGTAAGGAATAGGTCTTGGCAATCGGGTCAATCAGTTCAGTTTCGGTTCAGATCTTTTCAGTTCGGGTCTCTTTCGGATATATATTATAATCGGTTCGGGTCTGATCAGTTCGGTTTCGGGTTAAATTTGATTTGATTTTTTCTTGTTTCGGGTCGGTTTTGGTTCGCGTTTATATCCGTTCGAGTTTATATGGGTTTGGATTTATATATCGGTTCAGGTTAATACAGGTTTCAGATGAGTTCTCTTGGTATTAGAGTTCCTAGTGTTAGAGCAGAGGAAATGGGGCTGACGCCCTCCGGCGTTGATCGCCGTTTGACGCCATTAGGGCGTTAAACACCACCCCCTAGAGGCATTATGGGGTGTCAACCCCAACGCGTCAAATGTTTAACGCGACGCTCCCCACCCCCAACGGCAAAAAAGGCTAAATTAGCCATTAAACAAAAAAAGTCTAAATTTAAAAAAAAACCTATAAATTCCCTCAAAACAAACCTATCTCTCACACATCTCTCACTATCTTCTCTCTACAATTCTATCAAATATTTGATTATTTATTATAACTATTTATAAAATATATTTTAAAAATGGGATCATCGTCCTCCGATGATGAAAAAAGAGTTCTCATGTACGCATGTGTTATTCTTCATAATATGATCGTAGAAGACTACTGGTTTGTGATTTGTCAATACAACTCGAACTAGGAGATGCATATGTACGAAAAAATCGACGAAGAAAAGAAACGAATAAACCACCGAGAAATTCGAAGCCGAGAGATTCACAATGCACTAACGGTGGATTTAATCGAACATATCTTCAGTCGCTCGAATAATTAGTAAATTGCTTGTAGTGTTGTTTTTTTATGGATGTAGTAATATTTTTTTAATGAATGTAACTTTTTTAATGAATGTATTTTTTTATGGATGTAATATTTTTTTAATGAATGTAATTTTTTATGCAATATTCTCCTTCGATTATTTTAAATAATTAAATATTTAAAATTTATTATTTTAAATAATTAAATATTTAAAATTTATTATTTTAAATTTAGAAGATGTATATTTAAAAATATTAAAAATGAAGCGCCGGTTTGAAGCCCCGGGACTTCACGGGTATTTCCAGTGCCCTTAGCCTTGTGTGTAACTTCTCCTCCCTATGTGTAAAGGGAGTATATATACAAGTGTTAACAATAATGAACTAGTATATCAATTAATAAATCGGATTCGATTCCGAATTATCGGGTCCGGGTCAGTTTTGCGAGTTCTAGTAAAGAAGGATGGAATTGCATATCATTGATTGTTGAGTCAAATAAATTGGAAGAAAAAAAAAGAGAATTTGAAGCCATAACATCGCACAAGAGAAACAAAAATACTCAACTCCATTTTCTTCTTCTTCTTCTTTTTTTTTAAATACTAAAGCAGGCAAAATTGTAGATGTTGGAGAATAAAATAAGGAGTACGAGAAACGTAGCCATTGTCGTGTGGTAACTCTGAGTGAAGCACAACTTGTGTTGTGCTCCCACCACAACAACAAAACAGGCTCGTTCAAATGTGTACGGAGTATATTGTTTTGTTATTATGATTTTTAATTTTTGAAAATAGTTGAAAAAAGTACTCTACAGTCCACCCTAAAAAAACAAAATACTCTGAGTTTCAGAATGCCCTTATCATTTTTTTTAATTATTTTGAAATTGAAACAAAAAATAAGATAATCTCTCATTAAACAAAAAATGTTGATGGATTTTTCATCTCTCATTAAACTATAGTATTTTTATTTACAATGTTTTATTGAAACTATTTTCAATTCAGTTAATTAAAATATCGATACAAATTTTTAAAAAACTAAAATATGAATTTTTTAAAAACTACTCCTGTCCCAAAATGATATTCCTCATTTGAACATGTAAAATCCTGTGATTTTTAAAATGATTTTTTTACAAGTTGGTAAAGAAAAAAAATAGAAGTTATATGTTCCGGTATTTAAAAACTACTCCGTACATAAAAAAATTTACAAAAAATGAGGTGACGAGAATATTTTATTTTATCAAATAATTAATGAAGTATGCAAACAAAAGTTATCGAATTGAAAAATCGTAATAGTAAAGAGAAATTATTTTGGGACGCAGCCAGTACATAAAATTTGCTATAAAATAAAATATGATACTCCTTTGTCCCAAAAAGATTTTTTCCTTTCCTTTTTTCCTCGTCCAAAAACACTTTACTTTTTATTACTTTTACCCGTACTAATCTATATGGAGTAACTTATTTATCACATCATATCTATTCACTAATAATCTACTATGACGTCCTGCTTTTATACATCACATCAAGAATAAATTTTGAAAATTAACACAAAAATATCTCTCAAATTCCATAAAATTCAAAGTAAAGGGATTTTGAGACGGAGAGACCATGACTTTTTTTAATGTAAAAAAAGTATTCCCTTCAGAAGAACGTGCAAAATCTCATTTCTTTTAAAATAATTTTATTTATAAATTAGTAAACAAATAAAGATTACAGATTACAACTTTCAAAATTACATCAAAATTTCTACAAAACAAGAGCTGACAATAATATTTTATTTATCAAGTGATCAATGAAAACATAGATACAAATATAAATTATGAATTATTATCAATAAGGATTAATTTAGGACGGAGGGAGGAAGTTCTATTGACAATGTTATGGAAGGTTGCAATGTCAGTGGTGACAATAACAGAGGATGTCCCTAAAATCCCATGAAAAAAGATTAAAATAAAAACGCCTCCACCTTTTACTGAGCACCAGAGGACCAATTACTGCCCAAAAACCAACAATAAAGCCAGGGGCAATGCCCACAAAGAAGAAAGACCAATCCACTGCCCCATCATCTTCTGCTGTTCCATCCTCAGTTGCAGGGCTTGCACCTCTGGCAATGCAATGCACGGCGAGTGGGGGCCCGCAAAGGCTGTTGCCGCTGAATCTAGAGGGGTCAAAGCTTTGCAATTGCGTACTCCGAGGAATCACTCCCGACAGATTGTTGTCCGACAAGTTCAAATCATTCAGGAATGTCAAGCTCGACATGCTTGGAGGAATCTCGCCCGACAATTGGTTATGAGAAAGATCCAGGGTTTGAAGCTCCTTCATGTCCCCTATGCTCTTGGGGATTCTCCCACTCAAAGAATTGTGTGATATGTTCAAGAACTGCAACCCGCCGAGAGCTGTGATTTCTTCGGGAACCTGGCCATACAATTTGTTGTTCGAAAGGTCCAAACTCCTTACGAAATTAAGAATTTTGCTGTATTCAACTATTTTCCCACCTCTCATGATCGAGGAGCTCGCATAATATGTCAATGTAGGACCATACTGCCAGCGAAGGCTTCCTTCGTCTCCGGAGCCATATGGTCTACTGATCATAGACGTTAACTTGTTAACACATTTTGGAAGTGTACCGAGCAGGGCATTATCTGCAAGATCCAGGATCTGTAGAGAAGCCAGGTTGCAAAGCTCTTTTGGTATGGTCCCATTGAAAATATTTCCGCGAAGGATGATAATGGTTGCCTGTTGAAGATGTGTCCCCACCCAGGTTGGGATCACTCCGCTCAATCTGTTTATACTCAAGTCTAGTACCTTGAGCTGGGTGCAATTTCTCAGGGAAACTGGTACTTCTCCTGAAATATTGTTGTCATGAAGATCCAATATCTCAAGAGAACTTAAAGTTCCAAGAGACCTTGGAATATTTCCACTGAAAGAATTGCTACTTAATCTGATCACCTTTGTATATGTCTCCCAATTCCCCCAACACTCTGGTATCTCTCCTGAGAAAAGATTTTCTCCAAGGTTAAGAACTTCTATAGTCCTGGACTTGTGGCATAAAAAGGTAGATATTGACCCAGAAAACTTGTTATTGGAAAGATCTAGCCCAAATGGATTTGAAGATATATATGGCATAGGACCTTCAAAACGATTTGAACTCAAGTCAATCAGAGAGTAATCAGAGTCATCAATCGATAAGTATGGGACATTTCCATGCATTTGGTTATGAGATAAATTGAACTGATAAAGCCTTGAAGAAAAATCAAGGAACCATGAGGGTAGGGTACTAGACATGTCTGAATGGGACAAGTCAAGATATACTAAATATTTCAAGGATTGAATCCAAGCTGGAAAACGAGGACCAACTCGCCAAGATTTCAAATATATGCTCGAAATAAGTTGAAAAGCAGGATCCCAATCAGGGCTCACTCTCAAATCTAGTCGGTTGCCAGATGCCTTAAATGTCCTCAAGTTAATAAGGTTTGAAAAGTGGATTTCA